GCCAAAAAGCCGGACATGTCCGGGAAAAAGAGGACGTATGGTAACCCTAAACTATGGCCCCTCAGGGGTGTCGATTTTTCAGCCTAAATTTTAAGTGTACGCCAGGCCTAACTGAAATTGCAGGGGAAAATTTTATAAGCAGTATGAAAATTCTTCTTCAGTACCCTCTTCATTTGCTCAGTGCCGGGCTAAATTCTCTGCTGCCTGAATTCTACCAAGGGCAATGGGTTTACAACAGGAAGGAATTTGGATCATGCTGATTTCCCAACATTTGCTGCTCTATTTTAGAACTTCTGTGATTTACTCTGTAGTGAGGGGTATGGAGGGGAATACTTCAGTGAGTCATTTCAACGCATTGTGGCGGGGAGGGTTAGGGGAGAATCTCCTTTTCTTAGAGCCTTGTTTTGCTTGGTTTTTTCAGATTCAGGTGATGGGTCTATTAAGTTTCAGGGACAAAGCAAGAGCTTGAGCGGTCAGGCTGGCTGCTAGAACAGTTGGATTCCTTGGAAGAAGGCCTTGTGACAGGAGATATGGGCAAGGATGGATTAACAGAGCCACATGGGCATCATATAGTCAATGCAAGATAGGAATGCTGAATGCAGGGGGCTGCTCTACAACAATGGACCTGGGCCCATGGTTTTGATCTTACTCTGCCACCGGCTGTGAAATATTAGCGAGGCTTATTTCTTCTGTCTTTTAACAGGAACAAAGCTACCAGCTGAACTGAGACACAAAATCTCATCTTCTTTCATGGTCTGAATAGTCACATGGCGTTAATACATCACACCTACACCCTGCTCCCGTTCGCCTCACCAAGCCCGCTTGCCTTGGTCCCTTATTATCATGATAACAGTGACAAGTGGGCACAGAACAGCAGCATCTTTACACTCATTTTATATTGGGGCAAATGGCAACATAGTGCCCAGAATTTGCTCCAGTGCAACTACTGAGGAATACTACTACACCCAAAACAGCCTGAAATACTTTGCAGAATTATGCTTAAGTCACCAGGTGACTCTGGGAAGTCACTCAACTTCTGTGCCTCAGTTTCCCTACCTGTAAAACACGATCTTTGCACGCCTTTGCGAAGGGTCTGCGTTCTATGGATGGAGAGCACTGTCGCAGCGGTATGAGTTATTTGAAATGGTTTTGATGGTTTCTACGGATAGGCATTACAAGTGCATCCATCTTTGGCGTCCAAGCATGTCGGTCTGCTGGACTGTGTAATTTCAGATCCCAAATCACACTATAATAATAGCATTTCTGTAGAACTTTTCACCCATAGATGTCAAAGCACGTCACAAAGGTGGAGCGGTTTCACCACCCCATTTTAAAGACTGAGGCACGTAAGGGGCCTGTCCAAGGTAACAAACAGGCTGCGGCAAAAGCCATGGCTAAAAGCCAGGTCCCCCTGCTCCCACCCCGTACCCTAACCACCAAAACACTTCAGGTGAGACGCCACCTCTTCTTTCAAGCTGGCCCTTGCTCACCTCCTCTCCTGTCCCCTGCATGATCTCCTGCGGGATTGAGTAGATCTTATTGTGCATCTCAACGCCACGCCTAATCCCATTCCGCACACGCACCAGCAGCACACGGAAATTCGTTCCCCCAAGATCCAAGGCCAAGAAGTCTCCTTTTTCTGAAACCCAAACGAAGGCAGTTACCACACTATCCACAGCGGCTGCCAGTGAATGATGTGCCCAGATCACCCCAAAGACCCAGCCAGCCCCAACCTCTCATTTACAGGCAGTGGAGCAACCAAGGAATGCAAAGTAAAGGGGGAGTAGGCAAGACAATGGGCCTGGATATGGGGGGGTTAATTCCAACCCGTGGAAAGTGAAGTTATGGGAGTTAAACCAGTGAGAGATCAGAATCCTCCCTCTGAACTCTTCTGGAGAATCAGAATGAACCATGGATGACCAATTCTCCGTCCCCATTATGTTATGTACTATGACAATGCATAGACATCTCAACTGAGATCAGAGCTTCCCTGTGCTAGGTGCTTCAATCTAAATGGACAAGACAGAGAAGGTGTGGGAGGGGAAGCAGGGGCACAGAGCATGGAAGTGACCTGCTTATGGTCATGCAGCAAGGTCAGTGGGAGCATCAGGAGTAGAACCCAGATGAACAAAGTCCTAGTCCAGTGCTCTAGCCACTCGGCCACGTTGCCTCGAAAGCTGTTCAGGAACTTTCTTTGCTTCAAAGTGTGCATTGGAAACCCAACTGCATGCGCAAATCTGAAGTCCACAAATCCAGGGCTACAAGTCCCCAGAGGGCCACCCTGTTCCTCAGTGACTCATGTTTGTTAATGCCTAGCGCCAGTACGAGAGTCCACTCTGATATGGCGCCCAAGTGGATTAGGCAGCACATAGGCACCGACTCTGGGTGCTCTGGGGCTGGAGCACCCATGGGGAAAAATTAACGGGTGCTCTGCACCCACTGGCAGCCAAGCTTCCCCGTCCTCGCCTCCTTCCTCCTCTCCCTCCCTCACAGCGCTTCCCGGCCCCCCAAACAGCTGTTTGGCCGTGCTTAGGATTTTCTGGGAGGAAGGGGGAGGAGGCAGAGAAGAGGTGGGGCAGAGGTGGGGACTTGGGGGAAGGGCTGGAATGGGGGCAAGGCAAGGGCGGTGCAGGGGCGGGAAGAGGTGGGGGAGGGGCAGGAAGGGGGAGGGGGTGGGGTCAGAAGGGAAGTCGGTGCCTATGAGGTAGCAGATCCAAACCTTTAAATATAAAGGAGCTCAGATTGAAGGTTCTGGCCCCTTTACAGCCTGATGTTCTAACCAGCAGGGGACAGGAGTGTTCACACACACACAGTATGATACCTGTTCCATCTGGAGTGGCACACACGTAAGTGGGAAGCATTTTCACAGTGGCGTCCAGGTGCGATGCTTTGCTCAGTCCCCTCTCCATCTCTATCTTCAACCTATTCTTCACCTCCAGCAGCTGCTCATGGCTCAGCTTCAGGGCTTCGAGGGTCTTCTGCCTTGCCTTATGCTGGGCTGCTAGCCTGTAGGCTACCGCCGTGACCATAGCGGCCCCTTTGCCGCTCCCATCTTCCGAGCGAACGAATCGGATGTCGCAGTCTGGCAGCAGCTTCCGCACCGTCTTCTGAAGGCGTCGAGCAAAACTGCACAGGACAAAGGCGGGAGTGAGTATCACCCACTCAGTGTGGTACTCCAGGCCCCTCTACTGGTGGCTGGCCCACATATAGACACTGACAGCTCGCGGAGGTTCATGCTTTTAGATCCAGAGGGCCCAGGTTCGATCCCTGTTGCCTACCCTCACCCAGCCCTACACAAAGCTAGACCTCATTTAGGTCTGTAGCCTTGCAAGATCTTATCCATTGATGGACAAGCTTCTGAAGGTCTTTTCCTGCAGCTTTTTAACTTCTTCCATGCCCGCCTGTAAAGCCCTTTCACTCAATGCATTTTTACAAACATTAACACTGGTGGCACCTCAGACTGGCAGGAAAGCTGGGAAAATGGAGTCCCAGAGGCCTGGCACAGCTAGGATTAGAACCTGTTTGTAGGCTCGTGCCCTATTCACTGGACTACACTGCCTCTCAGATTGCAATCTACGAGGGTCCAATTCCCAGGCCATGCAATCTATTAAAAGCTACTTGGCTTATGCCTTAACTGATACACTACTGATCTGGGCTGTGAACAGCATACCGGACTCTCACTGACTTTACTGGGAGTCACAGCCCTTTAAGTGCTCTGGGATTGGGTTGCTTTAAACTCCATCAAGCTGCAGAATGACCCCCGGGGCCATTTCCTCGCAAACTCATTGCTAGCCTCACTTAGGTCCTCAGGCTTACTGGGGGTGCTTCTTGTACACCGAGCCATCCACGCCGACGGTGGAGCGTAGCCTGTCGACTCCTTTGTTCTCCTTGATCCGGCGCAGCACTGCGGCCAGGGTAGCACCACAGAGGTTCGCCGAGCGGGTGGAGACGATCTGGCAGATATGCTGGGTGGCTATGCAGTCTTCTGCAGATGGGTCCAGCCCGAGCTTGGTCAAGATCTCGTGGGCTTTTTGTAGTCCTTCCTTCTCCCTGATGGTCAGGGAACAAAAAAAGGAGTTCAGTGGAGTAGCCTGAGATACTGTTGAGGTAACTTGAAGTATTATAGGCCCAAGGTTTCTGCCAGTCCCACCTCTTATCCTAGAGGTTAATGAAATCATAGAAATGTAGGACTGGAAGGGACCTCGATAGGTCATCTAGTCCAGTCCCCAGCAATGAGGCAGGACTAAGTATTATCTAGACCACCCCCAATAAGTATTTGTCTAACTTCTTCTTAAAAACCTCCGGTGGTGGAGATTCCACAACCTCCTTTGGTAAATTTGTTCCAATGCTTAACTACTCTTAAGAGGGTGATAAGTGACAGCCAACATGGATTTGTCAGAACAAATCATGCCGAACCAACCTAATTTCCTTTTACAGTATGACTGGCCTAATGGATGGATGGAAGCAGTAGGTGTGATATTTCTTGATTTGAGCAAGGCTTTCAAAACAGTCCCACATGACATTCTCATAAACTGGAGAAATGAGATCTTGATGAAGTTACTGTAAGGTGAGGGCACAACCGGCTGAAAAAACAAACATACTCAAAGAGCAGTTATCAGTGGTGGGCTATCAGACTGGGAAGATGCATCTACTACAGTGGTTCTCAAAGCCAGTCTGCTGCTTGTTCAGGGAAAGCCCCTGGTGGGCCGGGCTGGTTTGTTTACCTGCCGGGTCCACAGGTTTGGCCGATCGCGGCTCCCACTGGCCGCGGTTCATCGCTCCAGGCCAATGGGGGCTGCAGGAAGGGCGGCCAACACATCCCTTGGCCCGCACTGCTTCCTGCGGCCCCCATTGGCATGGAGCAGTGAACCGCGGCCACTGGGAGCTGTGATCGGCCGAACCTGCGGATGCGGCAGGTAAACAAACCGGCCTTGCCCGCCAGGGGCTTTCCCTGAACAAGCGGCGGACCGGCTTTGAGAACCACTGATCTCGTGGGCTCCCCCAGGGGCTTTTCAATGGAGTGGAGAGTATGCTTATAAAGTTTTTAGATACTTGGTGTCATCACTTTGGGGGACAGGATTAGAATACCATATGACTTTGACAAATTGGAGAATTGATCTGAAATCCATGCGATGAAATTCAAGGAAGACGAGTGCAAAGTATTACACTTAGAAAGGAAAAATTAAATGAAGTAATAAAAAAAAAAAAAACCCAAACAAGTGTAGTACCGCAGAAAAGGATCTGGCAATTATAGTGCCTCACAAATTGAATACGAGTCAACAACCTGATGCAGTTGTGAAAAAGGCTATCATCACTCTGGGGTGTATTAACAGAAGCGTCAACTATCAGAAACTGGGCACCACACTTTAGGAAAGATGTGGATAAATGGAGAGAGTCCAGAGGACATCAACAAAAATGATTAGGGCCCTACCAAATTAATGGCCATGAAAAACGCGTCACGGACTGTGAAATCTGGTCTCACCCCGTGAAATCTGGTCTTTTTCGTGCTTTTATGCTATACTATACCGATTTCGCAGGGGAGACCAGCGTTTCTCAAATTGGGGGTCCTGACCCAAAAGGGAGTTGCAGGGGGGTCTACAACGTTATTTTAGGGGGGTCCTGGTGTTTCCACCCTTACTTCTGCTCTGCCTTCAGAGCTGGGCGGCTGGAGAGCAGCGGCTGTTGGCCAGGTGCCCAGCTCTGAAGGCAGCGCCCCACCAGCAGCAACGCAGAAGTAAGGGTGGCAATACCAAACCAGGCCATCCTTACTTCTGAAGGCAGAGCTGCCACTAGCAGCAGTGCAGAAGTAAGGATGGCCTGGTATTGTATTGCCACCCTTACTTCTGCACTGCTGCTGGCGGCAGCTCTGCCTTCAGAGCTGGGCTCCCGGCCAACAGCTTCTCAGCTCTGAAAACAGGGCTGCTGACAGCAGCAGCGCAGAAGCAAGGGTAGCAATATTGCAACCTCACCTCCCTCACCCCCCCGCCCCCCCTAACCTTGTGACACCCCCACAACTCCTTTTTGGGTCAGGATCCCTACAATTACAACACTGTGAAATTTTAGATTTAAATAGCTGAAATCACAAAAATTTGTGATTTTTAATTTTTAAAATCCTATGAAATGAATTCCAAGTGACTTTATTGAATTTCATCTCATGGATTTCAGATCAATCCGTGAAATGGACCGTGAATTTAGTAGGGCCCTAAAAATGATCAAAGTTTTGAAGACCTGACCCAGGAGGAGAGGTTAAAAAACTGGGCACGTTTAGTCTTAAGAAAGGAAGACTTGAGAGGGGGTGGGTTGGGGCATGATAACAGACTTGAAATATATTAAGGGCTGTTATAAAGAAGACAGCGATCAGTGGTTCTCCATGTCCACTGAAGGTAGGACAAGAAATAATTGGCTTAATCTACAGCAAGGGAGATTTAGGTTAGATAGTATGAAAAACTTGATAACTCTAAGGGTAGTTAAGCTCTGAAATAGGTTTCCAAGGGAGGCTGTGGAATCCCCATCACTGGAAGTTTTTAAGAACAACTTGGACAAAAACCCGTCCAGGATGATCTAGGTTTACTTGGCCCTGCCTCAGTGCAGAGGACTGGACTCGATGAGCTCTCAAGGTCCCTTCCAGCCCCACATTTCTACAATTTTATCCCTTAAGTGATAACATCACACAGAGCAGGAGGGGGGCTAACCTGCTCACTTCTACTTGGTGTCTACACAATAGATTGCTCACCATTGGCTCGACAGACCTTTCCCTTCACAAGAGCACACGTCTTGAAGAGATGAGGGTGGCCTCCCATCCACTGTGGGGGGCATACTGAGGATAGAACCGTTTGCTCAGGCTCTTTTTACTTACTTTTCAATAGCAGACACATATCCGGTCTCGAAGTGTCCTGTGGTGAGCAAGCTTGGGGTGAGCCTTCCACTGAACAGCAGCTCCTCCTTGGCCATCTTCACCAGGATGAGCCTGACCAGCTCTCCCATGTACATGCCACTGATCATCTTTTCAAACCTGCAGAGAAGTTAAGCACAAGGTTCAGTCCACTGTGCAAGTCATTGTACAGTGTCACTTTAAGAGGCTAACGTCTAGGGCTAAACGTGCAACAAGGTACACCTGAATTGCCCGTGCAAAGCTGCATTCTACACAGGTAGCACACGAGCTCACAAAATCTCAGTGCACCCCCAAATGAGAAGGGTAATGTTTGTACCAAGGTCTTGGGACAGCTAAGTACTTGATTTAGTTTGCAAGAAAGAAGAACAACTCTCTTAAGCTTAGTCATGCAATTTGCCCATTTAAAGAATCATGAATTATGGCAAGGAATCCTGATTGTCTCTATCTGATTGTCAAAAACAAAATTGTGTCAAGCCAACCTGATAGCTTTCTTTGACAAAAAGAAGAACAGGAGTACTTGTGGCACCTTAGAGACTAACAAATTTATTAGAGCATAAGCTTTCGTGGACTACAGCCCACTTCTTCTTTCTTTGACAGGGTAACAAGCCTTGTGGATGGGGGGGAAGTGGTAGACATGATATATCTTGACTTTAGTTAAGCTTTTGATACTGTCTCACATGATCTTCTCATAAACAAACTAGGGAAATGCAACCTAGATGGAGCAATTATACCGTGGGTGCAAAAACTGGTTGGAAAATCATTCCCAGAGGGTAGTTATCAGTTGATCACAATCATGCTGGAAGGGCATAAAAGTGGGGTCCCACGGGGATTGGTTCTGGGTCTGGTTCTGTTCAAGATCTTCATCAATGATTTACATAACGGCATAGAAAGTACAGGTTTGTGGGCGTTACCAAGGTGGGAGGGGTTGCAAGTGCTTTGGAGCATAGGATTAAAATTCAAAATGATCTGGAAAACTGGAGAAATGGTCTGAAGTAAATAGGATGAAATTCAATAAGGACAAATGCAAAGTACTCCACTTAGGAAGGAACAATCAGTTGCACACATACAAAATGGGAAATGACTGCCTAGGAACGAGTATTGCAGAAAGGTATCTGGGGGTCATAGTGGATCACAAGCTAAATATAAGTGAACAATTTAACGCTGTTGCAAAAAAGGTGAACATCATTCTGGGATGTATTAGCAGAAGTGTTGTAAGCCAGACACGAGAAGTAATTCCGCTCTACTCTGCACTGATTAGGCCACAACTGGAGTACTGTGTCCAGTTCTGGGCGCCACATTCCAGGAAGGATGTGGACAAACTGGAGAAAGTCCAGAGAAGAGCAACAAAAATGATTAAAGGTCTAGAAAACATGACCTATGAGGGAAGATTGAAAAAATTGGGTTTGTTTAGTCTGGAGAAGAGAAGATTGAGAGGGGGCATAACAGTTTTCAAGTTTGTAACAGGTTGTTAGAAGGAGGAGGAAGAAAAATTGTTTTTCTTACCCTCTCAGGATAGGACAAGAAGCAATGGGCTTAAATTGCAGCAAGGGAGGTTTAGGTTGGACATTAGGAAAAATGTCCTAACTGTCAGGGTGGTTAAGCACTGGAATAAATTGCCCAGGGAGGCTGCGGAGTCTTCCATCATTGGAGATTTTTAAAACCAGGTCAGACAAACACCTGTCAGGCATGGTCTAGATAATTAGTCTTGTCACGAGTGCAGGGGACTGGACTGCACCTCTTGAGGTCCCTTCCGGTTCTATGATTCTATGATCTCATGTAGCAGCCCAATACAGATACACCCAGATTTTGCTTAAAATCACAGGGGGACATTTCAAAACCTTCGGTAAAAAGCCTGATATGCATCCGAAGAAGTGGGCTGTAACCCACGAAAGCTTATGGTCTAATAAATTTGTTAGTCTCTAAGGTGCCACAAGTACTCCTGTTCTTGTTGCGGATACAGACTAACACGGCTGCTACTCTAAAGCCAGTAAAAAGACCGGGGAGAGAAAAATTAAGCCTTCAGGTGACTTCCTCTTCCGTCCATTGTGATTAAAAGTAAACCTGAACCTGAACCAAACTATTTCTGCATCTTGGAGGAAGCTCAGATCCAAGTTTTATGGACTGGGTCCATCTCCAATTTAAAAATCAATCTCGCAGTCACCAAGTGTGATATCTGTTGGTTGCACTGATGATATGAACACTAGGTGACGCTGTTTGCCTTCGGGTGATGATCACTACACTGAATGGGAAATCCAGAAGTAGCTGTTATTCCATTCATTAGAAGATGAAGCAAAGCAGGGGGATATGGGGAGGGGGTCACTCTTGGCAGTTCATTCAGAAATAACATCCCCAATTTGTGGTACAGTCCCAGTTTGCATTGGTCTAGCCTGCAGCCTTTAGGGTCCTGTAACCCAGTTAACCTACATGAACTCTTCCTCACACCAAAACAATCACAATAGAAGGACAGACAATACAAAATAAACCACCACCCCACATCTGAGTCACAGCCAGGAATCTGCTTACAGTTGTTTCCCTGGATTGAGCGAACCCATGTCGATCTCACGGTCGAACTCTGTCCTGATGTCGTTCAGCACACCGTCGTCTCCGAAGGCTCCCCATTCCATGTTTATGCACATCCGCCCTTCATCCCCTTCCACCAAGTCAATGTGCCGCATCTCTTCCATGTAGCATGCATTGGTACCAGTACCTGTGCCAAACCGATCACGAGTTAGTCACCTGGGAGAGGGAGTGGTGGGGTCTTCATCACTGCTTCCAGCGTAGAGTTCCTACCCATCCCATAAGTATGGCCTAAAAACTGTGTTCTTAGATGCACACATTTACACTTGGCCATACTGAAAAGTATCTTGTTCACCTGAGCCCAGCTTACCATGTGATCCAGATTGCTCTGTATCAGAGCCCTCTCCTCTTCATTATTTACCACTCCCCCATTCTTTGGGTTGTCTGCAAACTTTGTCAGTGATATTATGTTTTCTTCCAGGTCATTCATAAAAATGTTCCATAGTGTAGGACCAAGAACTGATCCCTGTGGGACCCCCCAGTAGAAACACTCAGTGATGAGTCCCCATTTACAGTTCTATTTGGAGATCTGTCAGTTAAGACAATTTTTCATGCACGCTATGTTCATTGTGTATCATTCTAGCTTCTTCATCAAAATGTTGCATGGTACTAAATCAAACAACTTATAGAAGTCTTTGAATATTACGTCATTGCTCTTACTTTCCTCGATCAAACTTGTAATCTCATCAAAGAGACGTCAAATGAGTTGAACAGGATCTATTTCCTGTCAAGGTTGCATCGTGTCTTACCAACAATGAGCCCAACTTCGCAGTTGTGATCGTCATAGCCGCATGTCATCATCGTCCCTACGGTGTCGTTCACCACGGCGACCAGGTCAATGTCGAAGTCCTGAAACAGGCAAAGGGGAGAGACATCAAGTCCATGAAGTCAAGTTTGACCCAAACCTCCCATTCCTAAGATTGATTGTGGGGGTTGGGGAAATCGGTACTTTAGCAGATAGAAAGCGCAAGGCTCCAAGGCCAAGATTTGGGATCCGTGCCCACAAATATTCAGCCTCATTTGAGCCAGGATTATCAGATGTGACTAATTATTTTGGCTCGCTCGATTTCTCAGTGCTCAGCTGGAGACACCATGAAGGGGCAGATGTTCACAGGGCAGGTGGCTCAGCACTTATCAGCTCCCTTCTTAACGCATCTCAAGGTCAGCACTCAAAAATTACTAGCTCCTTTTGAAAACCATGGCTCAAGTGGGGGCTGAATGTTCATCAGCACAGATTCAGTGACAGAAGAACATTAATAGGCTGCCTATCTTTAGTAAAAAAATGTTCCTTTTATAGTGCTATTCAATGTCAAAGCACTGCACAAACATTCATTAAGGATCTCAACACCCTCTTGAGAAGGGTAGCTAAGTAGTCATGTTACTTGGATTTATCTAGACTTCTATTAACCATCTGTCCCTGACTCTTGGTGTTTTTAGAAGACTAAAAGTTATGATACAGGAAGGAAAACTTGCAACAGATGCCATAAACCGTACAGACAATGTCATTACGCTCACAGAAGTAACTTCACATCTATCCAGTCCACAGCCCGCTCCTGCCCCAAAATGTAGGAGGAATCAGTGTTAATTGGTGCTGCGTTAATAAATCTAGGCTCTGGCAGATCTAGACTAAGAAATCCAGGCTCTTGCAGTGGGAGCAATTCTGGAGGAATCGACCCCTCCTGAAAAACTCCTGGCCAACATCCCTACTTCCTGTTTTAGTCACAGGGCTATCAGCTCAAGCAGTCAGCTGAGGAGTCGTACAAGGAAGAGAGGCATAGCCAGATCTCAAGCTGTTTAAGGCTTTACAGGGAAAGATGGGGAAACGGAGGCAGAGGTTACTACATTTGTTTTTCTCCCTATCTCCAGTCGTTCTGGATGCCAGAATAACTGTGATATCAGAAGGTACACCAACAATATGCAATTCAGAGCAAGGGTGAATTCAGTGCTAAAGTAGTTCTTTGCGTACACCCACTTTCACAGCTGATAATGCAGCCTGCAGGAGAACAACATAAGAAAAGAGCAGGGCATGAACATGAGAAAGCACAATGTTTGCTGTAATCCTTGACCAACAGGATCTAACCTGATTAAAAAAAAAAAAAAAGTAAAGAGGAAGTTTAGTTTGGGTTAAAAAAAAAAAAGGAGCACAGCCGTCTTGCATTTGTTTCCAGATGAAGAGTGCATCAATCTGACTGACAACCCTTGAGTGTCTCGGGTCTGAAGCCAAGTACAGCCACTGCTGGCATTTAGATAGTGCTTTTCCCATCCCAGTCTATGTGAATACCTTGAAATACAATACCTTCCCCCCTGCGTGGAGGGCTGTACGCTAGATCAAGACCAGGATTTATACACATTCTCTTTGTTCTGTTCCAAAGCCAAACAGAATGTCCTGGGCGGAGCAGCTGATTCCCAACAGCCTGGGAGTTCAGCGCACGGGTAATGCTTACCCCTCGTTTCTTGATGGCTTTACGTATCATGGCAACCACGTCTTTCCCCTCCACGCCACTGGATTTGAACCCTTTAGTCCATGTAACGAGAATACTCTACGAAAAGAAATAAGAACAACCATATTATCAAACCAGAGTCTTCAGCCATCTTTCTCTAAGGCCCTATTGCTACCCTTGGGATTTTTGCAAAAAAAATCCTTCTCCCCTGTAGATCAGCTGCACTGGTATAAGACAAGGGCTTCCACTGATACAACTTTCTGCAGTAAGTTCCTGGGATGGGTTGCGGCACTGTCGTGTGTATGTTATGTCAATGTGATTACACTGGCAAGGAGTCTACGCTATAAACTTACATCGATATAACTACATTGCTCAGGGATATGAAAAATCTACACCCCAGAGCGATGCCAGTTATACAGACCCGGTGTAGACAGCGTTATCTCGACGGGAAATGGATTAATGACACTCCCTTGGTGTTCACACCTGAACTGCTAGAAGAGGGCCTCATCCTCCCTGATTGAACTAACCTCGTTATCTCCAGTCTGATTCTGGCCTGCATATTTATACCTGCCTCTGGAAATTTCCATTACATGCGTCTGACGAAGTGGATATTCACCCACGAAAGCTTATGCTCCAATACATCTGTTAGTCTAGAAGGTGCCATAGAATTCTTTGTTGCTTTTTACAGATCCAGACTAACACGGCTACCCCTCTGATACTTGACTGACATGACAGGCAATCCTATGGACATAGCAGCATCTTTGCTGCAGCTTTTTACGTGTTGACCTGCCCTGAGTCTCAACAAGGCCCAGGTTTCTGGAAATGCCATCAAAATACGGGTGGGATGGGGAGTTAGTCATTTACTTCCACCCGCATTAGAAATGCAAAGCACAGGGTGAGGCTGACCAGATTCTACAGAGTTGAGTTTACGAGGATGGTTCCCAAAGAGCTCAGAGTGTCAGACGACTTCTGATTAAAAACAGTCTTCCATGATTGAGGTTTTCCATACAAATCTAATCATCTGCCATAAGCAGCAGAAGGCACTTTGCAACTGGGACTTCTACTATGATTAGTAGGTTTAAGAGAGATCAATAATAGCAGGAATATCATAGCCACACAGCTGTGGAATTTGATTAGCTCCCACTCTGAAAGGACTTCAGTGACATCTTCTGTTCTCTCTTATACAGAGCTTTTCTTCCCTAGGTCCCAAGGCGCTTTAGAATCATAGGGTCAGAAGGGACCACCAGGGTCATTTAGTCTAACCCCTTGCCAAGATACTCACAGATGGTGAAACTGAGAAAAAGACAGAGCAGTACCTTGCCCCAGGCCACCCAATGAGTCAGTTTCCAAACCAGGAATAGAACCAAGATCTCTTGGTTCCAAACCCCACAGCTTTCCACTAGACCACCCTGCTTTCCCAAGAGAGCAGTATAAGGGGAAAAAAGTTAATAGAAACTCGTATTGTTCCTCGTGCTCTAGCGCAGTGAGGTTAACAACTTGTCATGCAGCATGTGGGCGCCTTTACGGTGGAGTATTCGCTGCACATGGAGGATGTGCCAAAGGGACAGAGAAATACCTAGCTGGCTACATTTCTGAGAGATGAACAGAGTTTTTAGCATTCCAGTTATAATGGCGGCGAACGGGTAGAAAATGAGACACACACACACAAAGATGCCAGGTGCCAGAGGAGAGGGTACATGACAAGCAAAATGACACGCATCCATCCGGAGGGCGCTAAACAAGCAAATTTCACCTTGGGCTCCCGACGCCACAGACAGTCCATCAGGCGACTGAGGTCACCGGAGTCTCTCCATGTAACTAGTCAATTGCTAAGCATGGCTGACAGCACATCAATCCCTGCAGAAGTGCCTGCCCCTGCTCCCTGATAGAAGCGTTGCCGATGACTTCAGTGGGAAGAGGAGCATGCCTGCTATGTTACATCCAGTGGGGCATGGTACACCAGGAATGATGCGGTGCTTGACTTGTCTGTTCGCATGTAGCGAGGGGACATATGTCCTGAGGCATTTGGATCTGCTTTACCTTACTCTGCACACCCTCCCCACCCAGTGCCTGCATTCAGTTCATTTTCCACCTGCCTTGCTCCCATCTCAGTCCTACCTTTATCTCTCCTTCCTGCACCTGGGGCTCCAGATCTGTCTCCACCCTGCCCCCTCTGCCACTAACAGCCTCCCTTGACTTGTGTGATAAACAGCTGCCTTCATCGGCCATCCAATCCTTCCTCTAAAATCCTCTTCTCAGCCAGCGTCCCAGCCCACAGCTAGTGTTATTCACAAAAACAATCCCAAAATATAATCAGCTACGAGCCTTGTAAATAACACTCCCTTTGCAAGCCAGGCTGCCCTCAAGAGCAATTTTACCCTCCCCTTTGTTTCTTGTCCTTTCCCCACCTTCCCCCGATGGTTTCTTGTCATCTCTCATTATCTTGTTTCCCTAATTTGGAGTGTAAATGCCTCAGGGCAGCAATCTTCTTGGTTACTTGTCAGGAAAATGTCTTGCACATTAATGGTGCCGTAGAAACAGATCAGTAATAAGCACCAAAGAGTTGAAGTTCCATGTGTCAGCATGCAAGAGGCATTTCCTTACCTCATGTTAGCTAACACATGGTAACTAGCAAGGTACAACCCTCATGAAGACAAGGCACTTTGTTCAGAATTTTACTTCATATTAGTTACTGTATGGTACATAACGCACCTTTTTTCCTAGTAAAGATGCAGCCATAGTGCATGAAGACATGCTTACGGTCTTTGCCGGTTTAAGGGAACAGATGTAAACTAAACCAAAATCCACCCTGCGGTTGGCACCAGTTTAACTAAATCAGTTTAAAAAAAAAAATCAATTTAAGTCAAATTGGCGCAACTTCCATGTGCAGACCTGGCTAAAACCATTGGGTATGATTAAAACCTAGCCACTTGTCCCTTTCACCTCTCCTGGTCGCTGGCAGCAGCCCAAGCCTCAGTCTGCAGGTCAATCCATCATGGCTTACAAGCCAGAGGAGGTAAAAGCGTCACTTACCTCATCCAGTTTGGTTTGGTGGCAAGGAAAAGAGAAGGTGAATCCGAGGGGAAGTTTCTTGTCCTTCATGTTCAGCTTTTCCATGAAGTTAGCCAGGCATTCGGCAATATGATCAAAGAGCTGTGGAACAGAGATCACCACCCGTTAGACTGCTCAGACCCTGAGTCGCCCTAATCTGTTTATTCAGCGTAAGGGCCCAATCTGGCACCCATTGGAATGGGTCAGCACAAAGTCAGGTCAGGATCATTTCACAACTGAACGCGCTGGATCCTACATTCCACTGGGTGCCACTGACTGTGTTTCACTTGCTAACATCACTCACCTTCGCTCAAGCAATTCAGCTATGAGAGAATAACCCTCCCCCAAGTAAGGAAACTTATGGCCACTACCTGTAAGGCTATCTGTAACACTGGCGGAAACTTTCACAGGCATGTAAAGCATTCCTGATTGTTACTGGTTTGGTATTCTGGGACTTTATAGAACACATTGTAATACAAATCCAAACAGTTATTATTAAGACTCACTTATCAGTTGCCCATTACCATAGTGTCTAGGTGTAGTTTGCTTAGTTTAAAATAAATCCTTAAGCATGTCTTCTGTGTATCAGTCTGGGAGATTTTCAGAGATGAAAACAACTTTTTGGGAAAGGAATTTGTTATCGCGTGGTTAAAGCAGGAGCTCTGGGATTCAGGACTCCTGGGTTCTCTTCTGAGTTCTGCTGGTGACAAGTTTTGACAAGTCACTTCACCTCTCTGCATTTCAGTTTGCCCTCTGTCACAGCGGGGGTAGAAGGAACTAGCTAATTTTTTATCATGAGCTTTGAGGTCTTGGAACCTAGGGTATTAGAGCAAAATATTATGATTCCCTTGACAGTTCAGGATGGTCCAGTCCTTTGATAAAGAAAAAACCTCTCTTACTTGGTTCTTTAGACCTTGACTGCACGGAGGATTTGAAATGAATTTTCACAGAGATATGTTAACACAATAAATGCAACTGAGATTTAGTTATGTCCTCACCAAACCAAAGCTTTGCAGGGTAGCTCTTTTAAGCAGTCGCTGCCTGCCAGTGCAAATCCCTAGCGTAGACAAGATAAACTGCGATAAGCAGCTATTTGCACTGGTGCATCGAACTCAGGTGTCAAGCCGGGGTCAGTGCCAGGGCGCAAATTTGTCTATCTGCACATGGGGCCCAGTAGGTGGCTGGAATAGAGATAAATTCCCAACATAGACAAGGCTCTGCCTGCTGCATCACCCAAACTGACTGTGGATCAATCCTCACTATCCGTTAGTTTCCTTCTTCTAAGTTTTCAGCAGAGAACAGAGCACTGAACTCCAGATCCCTCAGCTGTTTATTCCAAGGCGTTTTCCCCCCCCTCTTGCCAGACTGTAAACCCCAGGTAGTGACGAATCTCATTTAAAGCATGAACATCTCTCTGCAAGGGACTTTAAAGTGCTTTCTACACACAGGCTTTAATGAGAAAAGCAAAGACAGCTGGACAGACAGATTACACCAGTTTGTCTTCGAGTGGTATAAAGCAAAGAGGGGGGAAAATGACTGGATTACCGTTTAAAAACTATATTCCCTAGGACTCACACACAACAGTCATCCCCCTTAACAGTCATTTACTATTATCTTATTCTATTTGCATTTATTTTGTGTCAAACTCTATTTTCTCCCATACAATGCGCACTGTTATTTTATTCCATTTATATTTATTTTGAGCCAAAATCAACAGCACAAGGAAAGGGTTAGGAGACAACGTGTTTTGTCACCTGCCTGTCGCTACTTTACACTTACGTAGTTCTTTCTCTCTCCATCTCAAAGCACTTTATTAATGGTGGGCATCATTAGACTCACAAGTCAAAGGGAGAAACTGAGGCACAGAGCAGGGAAGGGACTAGCAGGTTGGTGGGAGAGGTGACAATGGAACCCAGGTGTGCTGACTCCTAACATCTTTAATTCCCCCCACATCAGCATCTTGCAACAATACTACAATCTCCTTGCTCTACTCCTGCCCCCCTCTATCCAGAGCGCACACGCCTCATACAGAGCTGCAGAGAATGAACTCTGAGCATGTCATCACAGCACCCGCTGGGTGTCACCCCCCTCACGTGGACAGCGAGAGAGATTTCCCTGGACAAGAAAGTGGCTACTGATTATTACATCTGACCAAGCAGAGGAGCATCTTTCCATTGCATGGTTCCTGCATCGCCCTAGGGCAGATATGATGCTGTGAGACGACATGTGAACTGATGGGCGGTGGCGGGGGGGCTTTTATGTAAGATTTAAACTGGGATTAGGCACAGTTGGGGGAGAATGGAATCAGAGGGGAATTAGAGCTACACGTGCTCTGCTTCACTTCTGTCCTTTCAATGCTGGTGGCTACTCAGGGCAGACCAGAGTATGACCCTCTCTAGGGCCAAGATTTTTAGTGACTGGCAGTTTTGATTGCTCAACACGAGACACCTTTTAAGGGGCCTAATTTACAGAAAGTGATGAGGACCTGCCTTCTGAAAACAAGGCCCCGTTAAGGGGTCTCAAATTGGGCATCCAGGAGAATGGTGGACATGTTGACACTAGGAAAAAAGGTGCATTTAACATGTATTAGAAATCCCTAGTGGAGAGATGGCAAGTTGTAGTTTGAACACATTAGTTGTGAACCCTAGAGTAGATTCCTGCCAGCTACCACATGTTAAAATACAAACTGGCCTGTCTACACCAGGGCAATGTGTGTTAAAAACCCACCTTTACCAGTGACGGCAAGGCCCAAGTTACCTGAAATTATTAGTCGCTTTTAAAAGCCTTGGCCCTTTGCACTTACACAGCCCCGATGGCTGTTGCATCTGAGCAGGGGTTGTTTCCTTCTCGAATACCCAGGAGAATCGCGTCGGGAAGACCCAGCAGGCTGGGTGAGTCAGCAAGAATGTGCACTCGGGAATAAAAGTGTGTGTGTGGTGGTGGGGGGGGGGGGATGGATATTAAACCTACCTGTACCCCGCTCCCACGCATGAGATCCTCTGGAATGGCATAGATCTGATTCTCCATTTCTACCTTCCGCAGGCCGTTATCAGACACCTTCACTCTCAGCACACGGAAGTTCGTGCCGCCAAGATCCAAGGCCAAGAAGTCTCCATTCTCTGCAGGGGCAAAGAGAGAAGAATATCGTGTTAGACTCATAGACTCATAGACTCTACGGTCAGAAGGGACCATTATGATCATCTGGTCTGACCTCCCGCATGATGCAGGCCACAAAGCCGTCCCTACCCTTTCCCTTGACTCTGCTGTTAAAGTCCCCAAATCCTGTGGTTTAGAGACTTCAATTAGCAGAGAATCCTCCAGCTAGCGATCCCTGCCCCATGCTGCAGAGGAAGGCGAAAAACCTCCAGGGCCTCTGCCAATCTACCCTGGAGGAAAATTCCTTCCCGACCCCAAATATGGCGATCAGTAAAACCCCGAGCACGTAGGCAAGATTCTCCAGCCTGACCCTCATTAGCCATTATACTATTTACCAGCGATGGCACGCTGTTCCTTTGACTAAAATCATGTTATCCCATTAAACCATTAGAGGCCTCTGTCTTATTCACACACACACACCTTTAAAATGAAGCTATGGAATGACTGCCTATTTACATGGGCCAGATATGCTACCGCTGGCAGTGGTACTAGGCTGCTTTTAACAATAAGCAATAGTGGTTTCTGGCACTTTACTGGTTTGCTGAAATCTCCCCATTTAGTGCAATCATCCTGCAATCCCTGCTTGGGCAGACGCAGCCAGCCAGCTCCGCCGCAGAAATAAGGCATGGTCAGGAAAAGGGCTAAGTGAGCATCTCTCCAGGCCAGACCCCACTGACACGGCCCTGAATGGAACTTGAAGCTGAAAAACTGCTCTCAAGAAAGAGTGACAGCCATACTGCCAGTGCCCACCCGCCACGAGTGAATCCCACTCTCAACACAGCTATCCCTTTGGGTGGAGGGGGTGAAAATTACCCCCTCAGGAAAGAATCTGACACCCAGGGACCCCTTCAATGAGCTATAATGCAAGCAGCTCTGTGGTGGAGGATGAGGCAATTAGCCAGAGCAAGTTGCACAAGGTAGTCGGGGAACTGTGGCCTGTGACACAAATAGCTCATACAGAGAGTTATGAGATCTTCTGAGTTCACAGAGCAGACAGTGATGCTGTTTTTAAGGCTGGAGGCCACAGGATCTTAGTTAGAGCAGAGGAACTGAGCCAGGAGACCAGATGCCGTTCCCGACTCTTCTGCTGCCTTGCTGCGTGACCTCAGGAGAGTCCCTCCATCTCCATGCCGAGTAATTCAAACCCAGGGGACCGGTTTCAAAGCAGGACTTTTTTGAAGGAAGGTGTAGCGGGGTGGTCACCCGCTCCGGCCCAGAAAGGGTTAAAGCCAGCCCTGGGAGAGGGCTGAGACTGGGGAAGAAAGCCTGGACTGATTGGGGAAGGCAGTAACAGCTGGGGCCACGCCACAATAAGGGCCCAGCTGGTCCCGATAAGAGTCTGCGAGCCAGAAGCCCAAACAGCCTCTCTCTGCTTGTAGAGAGAGAAGGGCCTGGCTGCTGGGAAGCTCAGGGTGCCTAGAGTGAGGCAAGGCTGGGGAAAGGCCAGAGGGGCTGGGGAGCTCCAGGCTGGCAACTCCCCAGGCTGCAGGGCCTTGTCCAAGGCCCCAGAGAGGCACTGGGTTCCAGAGAGGGGCAACAGGTCCAGACCCAACCTTGCCTATGATGAGTGGCTTATACTGCAGTCTGCCCCAGGGAGTGGAGCTAGATGGTGACTGGCAGTAGCCTTACACTGAGGAAAGGTGGGGTTAGTGGGTGGGGGTTCCCTGGGGAGGGGAGACCCAAAGAGAAAGGGGTTACTGCCAGGAGGCAGCCCCCAGATAAAGGGGCACCAGGTCCGGGAGGGACATGGGGACCAAGAGGCGAGGAGGATCACTGCCTGCAGAGGGCGCTCCAAGGCTGGCAGAGCTAATTCCCATGGACGACCAGCAGGAGGCGCTGGAGGGGTGAGTTCACAGGCTTACAGAAGGATTTTGAAGTGTAAATAGGAGAGATTAAGTGATCACCGAGGGACAGAATGGAAAGACGCCCCTGAAACATCACAGGACCATTGCCACGCACTTGGGCAAACTTTGTAAATACAGGACTCCATTCTCCTCTCACCTACGCTAGGTTAAAACCGACACAAAGCCCAGTGGCCAACAGGGAAAATGGGAGTAAGAGCACTGTACTAGAAAGAGAGCCTAAGACATAAGGCCCTGTATCAGAGGCCTGGTGTGAGGCCTGAACTAAAGTAGCGGTCAAGCCTTGCTAATATAAAGCAAAGTTAGCAAGAGACAGGCTGAAAGCAGAAGTCAGGTTCTTCCCCACAGGTTCCAGGTGGGTTTGTACTCGACACGGTTAGGTGCCACCACTTGCCACAGCCCACGCTAGCATGGCTACGCTAGGGTTACCATCCGTCCGGGTTTCCCCGGACATGTCCGGCTTTTTCAGCTTTAAATGGCTGTCCGGGGGGGGATTTCTAATAAGGTAGAAATGTCCGGGGTTTCCCCCTTCCCCTCATGCAGAGTGCGGCGCGGCTGATTGGACGGCTGGGCCTGATTGAAAGCTGCTCGCAGCCACTGGGGCCTCTAGCAGCCAGAGTCCCTCCCCCTCCTCCCCTGCAGAGCAGCACCACCGTGTTTGGCTGCACGTGGAGCTCGCAGCTCTCCCTCGGCCTTGGGGGCGGGGGGGGACGGGACGACGACGGACAGACAGGGAACAGGGTGGGTTAGATTGGTCGGGGGTTCTGGGGGGGCTGTCAGGAGAAGGGGGTGTAGAGAGCAGTTGGGGCAGGCAAGGGACAGGGAGCAGGGAGACTTAGATAGGGGGTGGGGTCCTGGGAGCAGTTAGGGTGGGGGGGGGACTGGTAGGGGGATTCTGAGGGGGGCGGGAAGTGGGAGGGGGCGGGGCTAGGGCGGCACCCCGTGTCCGCTTTTTTGATTGTTGAAATATGGTAACCCTAGGCTACGCTACTGTTTTTAGCGTTCTGCTTCGATGACAAACTAGCATGAGCAGGTCTGCTCAAGCTGGGAATCACACCCCCCAGCTTCAAGTGTAGACGTAACCTAAGATTGTGAGCTGGTCAGATCCTATAGCGATGCAGGGGGGAGGCAGAAAACAATGGAAGATAGATATACAACCCTAAATCTCAAGGCTGTCTCCAAAACCCTCATCATTAGAGGGATGCGAAGCAGCGTAAATCATCTACTACTTGAAAGTAGTGTAATCTACCGGCATGACAAGCAGAGAGGGAAAGTGAATCGAGTTTATCTGCCTATTTTAGTTGCCGTTAGTGGAGAGTTACAAACACAAACGCAGGCGAGACAGGCTCAAGTAACACAGCGTGATTTGGCTTGGTCCGTGGAGCGTAGGTTAACACACAGTTTCTCTGGAGTACGGCCTCCCCTTAATTAATTTGCTTTAGGGAGCCTGTAACAAGTGTCACTGAGCTGAACCCACCTCCCAGAGGAGATGGGTAGCTAATTCTATTTTTAAAAAAGCATTCAACTTTATTTTCCCAGACACCACGATGGGCCACCACTGAGTTTGGGACAAGGAAGTTTAATGGCCAGCCTAACTGGTGGAAGCGCCAAGCTTACTATGTTAAATATTGAGCTGTGGGTGGGGGAGCAGGGAGGGGGAAAAACCCGCTATCAGCACTCTTAATTTCTGAACACACCAAATCTGCTGTGCTGGCTACTCCAGACAGATTACAGTGCCTAGGGACTGTAACGTACCCAATGATGCTTTTATAAAGGGGCTACAGTTGAAACAAAAAAAATGTAGTTAATTAGTATTCCAATGACACTGGGCCAGTTAGTGTCTTCCGTGAGGTCTTCTGCAGCAAAGACAGCTTGCTGTCCGAATCTGAAGGGCATTCAGCAGTAACGATAGCTTGGCTGGAACGATTATGGGGTTGACTTTGCAAAAACTTGGAGTGGGTGTGTGTGTGTGGGGGGGAAATCTGAGCTGAAACAATTGCTCATTTCTGTAAAGCTGCCTCTTCTCCCCCGACCCCAGCCCCAATCTCCTGTTTAAAATATCTTGCACTCCTGGGAAACTAATAACTAGCCAAGATCAGATCTCAGAGGATAATTTCTTTTAAAATCTCGTCTAAATCATCCTTCCACAAGCGATCCCAAGCTGCCACAATGAAGAGAGTTTAAACTTGAGCCAGCTCAATCGCTTAGCGGTAAGGGTGGTGAGATGCCGTGTGGGACACCGGGGTTTGAGGCAGTGGCTGTGCACTCCCTTGTGAGAGATTGGAGTTGGATCTCACTCCTGGGGCTGGCAGGCCTTGCGGGGAAGGTGGCTGGTCACCAAGGAAAGGAGGGAGAAACAGGTGCCGATTCTCAAGGGCACCCTCCTGTCAATCCCTTTTTATCCTCCTCAGCAAGCTAGGAAGCGAAAGCTTTGCCCAGACTGTGACACTCTGGTTACACCCTAATTACTTACACTCATGTTATAAGGAGGAGATGCCAAGCTGATTAGGTCATTATTTAGCAAGCATGGGACAGTCCCCAACCAACCCATCTTTATAAGGATTCAAACAATGCCTCCACACCCGAGCCGAGCAGCAGAGAACTATGTGCTGTTTCAACCTGGGACCCAGATCACAGCTTGTGCCTTCTCTAACAATAACCCAATGCCTTTGAACACCCTAGAGCAGGGAACTGTATGCGAAATGTTCTATTCTGCCTTTATACCATGCTAATCACATTGTGTTCTGCTCCAACATCTGCATACGACAGGCATCTGCTTCCATGAAAATCTTGAGCTTGGGATAGGTGCCGTGAGATTTATTTTTAAAAATAAAAAGTAGCCACTTTAATTTTAGGTAGGGTGAGTGTCCGTGACAACAAAGCTTGGCATAGCACAAATGTCTTTCATCCAGATATCAAAGCAATTTTTAAACATAAACAAAGACTCTCAGCCCGTCTGCAAGGTAGATTTATCTTCATCCCCATTTCACAGGTAAGGAAACTGTGGCAGAGAGAGACATCTTCTGGGACTTGCACAAGGCCACAACAATTCAGGGGCATAGCTAGGATTTGAACTCAAGAATCACAACGTCCATTCTACA